TTAGTTATCTTCTTCTCTAGCACGTGACCCGCCTTATACAAAGGACGATTGTGTAGTGTTTCACCAAATAGAAGATCATTATCTGTAAATGTAATTTTTGTATCACATGCATGTGCTTCTTGGGAAGAAGGTTCAATAGGTTTTTTAGAAGATGAAAGAGACATCATTGATGAGATTTCCCTTGTTGCTTTTTCTTCGTCACTAGGAGACACTTTTGGTGAGGATTCACTCGTTGTTCCTTCTTTGTCAGTAGGAGGCACCTTCATTGTTTCTTCTTTATCAACATTGAAACATGATGCCTCGACATTGTATTGAGTAGACTTTGTGCAGAACAAACTTTGCAAGAATTCCTCTAGAGTCAAAGGACATCGGGATTCTGGTAGTGATGTACTTCTACCTTTGCCCTCTTTGGGCGCTTGATTGATTTATGCTTCTCCAATTTATTCACCATTTTCCTTCTAATTTGTTGCTAGGATGATTCTTTTTGTAAGCTTGACTTGCTATGTCTTTGCCTAGTCACAAGAATCCAGCCTTCATCACCATCAATATCAAATTCTTGCTCCAATGACTCTTCTTCATGCTTTTCATAGATATATATTTGGACCGGATCGAGCGAGCCGAATATGCTAGAGATTTGGTTGGAACTAGCCTTCTCATCATCAAGGACAATTTTCTTTTCATTAACCACTCGCATAGCTCTATCCTTGAAGACAAAACATTTTTCAAGAGGATGACTCACAAGTCTATGATACTTGCAATAATTTAGGTCATCAGCATTTCTGGCTTCATCAAGTCGCTTCATTTCTGACAACTTAATGAGCTTTAACTTGAGCAACTCATCAAAAATCTCAGAAACATCAGAATCCAAGAAGGGATATTTTTTCCTTGCATCTCCCTCAGTGTCAATTTTTTATTTGAACGTGCTTGGAAATTGGTTCTCACATTTTGCTTCATATCTTCCTTTATAGTGAACCTCACAGGTGACACATTAACATTCATAGATTCTTTGTTGTCATTCCTAGGAACAAATTTGCTCAATCTCTTGGGGTCTTTCCTGTCTCTTCCTTTGCGAGGATCATGGACAAACGTCATATCTTTTCCGGCAGAGGGCATGCTCAACTCCACATCATGAGCGTGAGTAGCTAGATCTTCAAAGGATTTTGGCTTTATTCCTTGTAAGATGTAAAGAAGCTCCTAGTGCATCCCTTGGATACATATTTCTATTGCAGAAGGTTCACTAAGCCTGTCCTTGCAATTCAGGCTTGCGTTCCTCCATCGATTTATGAAATCTATAACTGGTTCATCATTCCTTTGTGTACGCCTTGTGCTACAGAAGCAATTGAGAGACTCGTGCTCTAGTTGCTCCAAACTATCGATAGAATTAGGCTCGAGGTCCGTGTACCAATCAAATGCATTTCCTTTTAGAGAGCGGAAAAACTGCTTGACAAGATGGTCTCCATAGGTTCCACCATTATTACATGTCTTCACAAAGTGTGCAACATGTTGCTTTGGATTTCCTTTACCCTCAAATTGTTGAAATTTGGGAGGTTGATAACCAGCAGATATTTTGAAGTTATCAATTCTTGTATATGGCTTGTCATACATATGAGAAGATTTGGTAGAGACTTCATACTTATCTTTGATTATTCCTTCAATGAACTTCTTCAAGTGATCAAATGGGATCATTCCTTTAGAGGAAACTGGCATCTCATTAACAAGTGGTGCTTTCTTCGCAGGATCTTTGATCTCTTGATCTTCAACACCCTTTCCAGGCGCATGACTCACTTCTCTATCTAAAAGTCCTTCCATCTTATACATCAACTTATCGATTCGAGACTCTTGGTGTTGTATATGCTTTGTCAATCGTTCAACCAACTTCGTCAGATTTGCAAGTTGTTCCTCAGGGGAAGAAGCAGTTGTCACCATTGTTTGCATGCTCATTGGATATGTAGGAGAGAAGCATGTATTGTCACGTAAGTCGATCTTCAGCGGACTCATGTTACCCGATGCATGTGGAGATGATTCGTTGATTGAATCATAGTTCTTCTTAGCGATAGATTTCTTAGAACCAGATTGCTCAAGTAGAGCCAATGTTTTGTTAATCTTTTCAGAAACACTATTTCCTCCTTCTAAAGCATTTGTGGGATGAACTTGCTCCTTTTGGAGTCGAAGACCCAAAAATAGGAGTTGATACGGACGACACTTGAAGTGTTTGTTGTCCTAGGGTAGCAGCCTTGCTCCTCGTAACAGCTCCGAAACTTTCAAAGGTAACACCAAGAATTTCTTCAACTTCAGTAGAGAATTTGGAGCTAGTGGATTTAGAGGCAGTTGATTGAGAGTTAACCTTCTTGGGAGTCATCTCGATATTCTTTGATGCTTAAAAAGTTGAGATGAGAGGTAGAGATTGTTCCACTGGGCATGCCAGAATTTGTAGACAATAAAATTCACGTTGAGAAAATAGTAAGCAAGAAAGCAAAAATATCACAACAATCGTATTTATTATTTCAAAGTGTGAGTGTTACAATACCTATTATTCCTCTATATTCGTCTTTTCAAATATAAATTCAAGGGCACTTGAGCTTAATCTTGAATTTGTCTTGAACTTGATCTTGGATTCAAGGGTTTTAAAGCTTGTTCTTGAATCTTTAATGAACTTGAACTTGAACTTTATCTTGATCTTGGCTTTTACTTGAATTCAAGGACTTCGAGCATGTTCTTGAATCTGATGGTCTTTATCTTGATCGTTCTTGAACTTGAATGCTTGAATTCTTAAACTTGTAGTTGATAGAGAATTTTATGGCGTTTGTACCACAGACTTTCTCTAGCTTCTTGTTTAGAATTTTCAGTCCCTATTCTAAATTATGAGGACCCATAATTAAAATTTTAGAATAGAGGAGTTGTGATTGGAACAGGATTTCCTTCGATCAATCAGATTTAAGTGACATGGCATATGAACTTCACACATGTCATAATCCTATTGGCTTCTTGTTTGGCATGCCACGTCATTTGCCATGTGACACCCAAAAATGGGCCTCTAGGATGAGATGAATTTGGGGTTAGCAAATTGGGCTCATTTATTACAGCCCAAATCAATTAAATTGGATTTTAATAAAATTCATATTTATTGGACTTAAATAATTGGCTCAATTATATTAATCCAAAATATTTATTTCAACTAATATATTCATAAATTTAATATTACTCGAATCATTTTACAAATTTATATTTAATAAATTTTAAATGATTATAGATACTTTAGGAGTATTTTAATCATCATATCATATAATTATAAGTGGGAAGGTGCTTAGTCTAAAGTTGGATTACGAAAATGCCCTTCAATTTTTTAATTATCATTATCATACTATTATTATTAATAATTAATTAATTATTTTTCTATAAGTGTGAAGCCATTAAAGTTGAATGACTTTTTAACTCTTCAAGAAATCACTATACCTATAAGTTACAGTAACATTTTTGTACAAAAAAATGTAACCTACATGTCTCTCTCTTCACTATCACCATTATACTCTTTTAAACAACATCATTGTCACAATAAATTACAATTCTAAATATGAAAGCAGATGAAAAGACAATTATTCATTAATAATAATCTTTTAAAAGAAACTAACATATATTTTCAACAATTCATATTTGTTTTATTCCTCAGATGCATATTTTCTCTTACACATTGTCTTCTAGTGAAAATATTGTACATTTGAATTTGGTTTAGAGAGCATAAAACTCTTATCATATGTTCTTTCAAGCATTTCTTTTTCTCTTACACGTTGTCTTCTAATGACAATACTGTACTTTGAACTTGATTTAGAGAGCATAAAGCTCTTATCATATGTTCTTTCAAGCATTTCTTTACATTTAGTTTCTTCATTTTTTGCTATCATTCAAATTATATTCTTAAATTGATGTTTAAGTGTTTGATCTCTCACATGAAAATATACTTCTAAAATTTTGTTTTATGAACTTATGATGTAATTTTTTTAATTTCAGGTATAAACAGGAGGTGATGCTTTTGCAGACTGTTGAATAGAACTTTTAGTAGAAATTGGCCAATACAAATGAGGTATGCGGCATGTCTCTCCAATAATTTTTGTAATTTTTTGCAGGAGTAATTTTTAATAAATTTGATCAACATTTGATTATTTTATTTTTAATTAGATTTTAATAAATTAATGCATGTGTATTTTACAAAGTAGAGCCTCCTTGATAGTTTTAGTTTGACAATGACTTATTGAAATTATATTTTGTTTTAGTCTCCTTGCTTTCGAGTTAAAAAGGATAACTAATGATTTCCCTCAACAACATCGAGCAAAAGAAATCGAGAAAATCTCGTAAGAAGACATATTGTAACAAATGAGGTAATTTAATTTAATATGAAGGAGTACTTAAAAGTCAAATATGAACAACATTAAAATTTATTTTTCTAAATATGAAAGAGGAATAAAAATCTTAAAGAGAAAAATATATAATAAAAATTGAATTCAAATATAACATATAAGGAATAAAAGGGATTATTAGTTAGTGGTTAAAATTTTTTACTCTTGACATGTTACCAATTCTAAAAAAAATAAAAAATTCCTGAGTCCACCCTTTAACTCAAAACCAAACCATTATAGGGAAAATGCATAAGTACCCCAGCCTATGCCCAAAATTCCTGAGACACACCTAACCTAAACTAAGGTCCTATTACCCCCGAACTTATTTTATATATAATTTTCTACCCCTTTTCGGCCTACGTGGCACTATCTTATGGGTCCAGCACAGGTTGATAATTTTTTCAAGGATAGTGCCATGTAGGCCGAAAAGGGTAGAAAATTAATTAAAAAATAAGTTTGGAGGTAATAGGATCTTAGTAAAAATTAGGTGTGTCTCGAGGAATTTTGGGCATAGGCTGAGGGTAGTCATGCATTTTCCCTAAAAAAATTATTATCATAATAATAAAAAATAAAACATTAATAGGGATTTTGTGTGGATGCAAAGTTTTGGCGCGTTAACTGTGCTGTTTTGCAAGCTGACCGTATAAAGATTTGATTCCAAGTTAAGTTGGGGTGAAAGCGAAGATGGGTGTGGATGAAGTAGGGCTTGTCGGCAAATTGTAGATTCTTGTGTGCGGTTTGATATTTTAAAGGGAGGGGTTTTTGTTTGCTGATAAATGGAGAGTCACGATCAGGCTCATTATTATCCTGATGGAAACTTAATAATTAGGTGACTGAAAAGGATGTAGTGGTGTTAATTAATGATATCCTTTTTGACAAGTCTTTTTTTGAATGGTTGTAGTTATGGACTTATTCCTTCCTCTCTTAGTCAACCATTCTTTGTTGTTGTCTTTATTTGCTTTGGGGATAACCGACAATTTTGCAATTACTCATGTTTTTTCTTCTTTTTAGTTGATTACTATTTCTTCTATGGAGTGCAATGTAAAATGGATGATGTTTGGTTCAAAGGATCCCAAAACAGATTCGGGATCCTTCAATTTCTCAGGTTTTGACACTGTTGGTGTTTATGACTTTGATGACGTGGACCCTACTTCTGACTCCAAACCATCCAACTTCACTTTTCATGTGGAGAAGTCCATAGTTAAGCTATCTACAACTTCACCACCCATGGACGCCTATGATGGACCTTTCAAACTTGGCAAGCGAACATTCGAAAGCAACAGTGGTGAAAGCAGTGTTGATCTCCCGTCCTTCTCCATCTCCCCTATATCATCTCTTATTGCACCAAAGAAAACAAAATTCTCTACTCACAATCCACTAATTCCGCACTGTCAGGTTGACGCCTGCAATCTTGATCTCTCTTCAGCTAAAGAATATCACCGAAAGCATCGAGTTTGTCACACTCATTCCAAATGCCCAAAGGTCATCATACTAGGTGTCGAGAGACGCTTTTGTCAGCAGTGTAGCAGGTAAACCTCATTTGGCAGGCATATCTTCTACTTATATGTTTCCGTTAGTTAATAACAACTTGTTCTTCTGGATGTATGCTTCTTATGGCATTTTCGGGTCTTTAATATGTCCTCAGTCATTATGCATATTTGAGATCATAATGGCTCATTCCTTTTTTTTCTCCCACTGAAGGTTCCATAGCTTGTCTGATTTTGATGAAAACAAGCGAAGCTGTCGCAGGAGGCTTTCTGATCACAATGCACGCCGCCGCAAGCCACAGCAGGAAACTATCCAGTTTAACTCGACAAGGCTTTCTTCGTTGTTTTATGGTATGATGCCTATGTTAAGATTCGGCCTCTTTTCTTCTGAAATGTAAAAGTAATGAGCATTCAAAATGAGAAGACTAATTTTTATTATGGACACGAATGTGATTGATTGTCAATGTTTCTATAAGAAATTCTTTTTCTGGTGCAAACAACCAATTTATATGGCATTGGTTTGCTTTAATCCATACATTTTAAGATATACGCATACCTATAAAAGTATTTATGCTCGAACAATTTTCTTTTGGAAAGTAAGCCCATGAGTTACTACATGTGAGATTGGATATGCTGCTTCTGTCAATCAAGCTTATAGTGACATGGAATATGACTTTTTCTTTAGGTCTTCTGCAAGTATCTTTCTCTGTTGTGTTTCTTTGGACATGTTCTGAGGTGAAGGTTCATCCAACTTTTAGTTCACCTCTTTTTGCATTTTTCTAGTTCTGTTGTCCTATTATACCTTTCTTTCTCTGGTGATGGGTGGTGGTGCATGAAGCGTGGAGGTTGTGGTGACTGCAACGGCAGAGTCAAAATTTTCAAAATATTAATGAAATCAAGGGGATTCTAACATACAGTATATGTACGTAGGATTTATTTTATTTTTACCATTCTGCATGTAATTTTTCAGCAAAGGGTTGTCAATTGACTCTCCTTGGACAAGTATAGCTTCACCATTGGTGATGGGTGTGGGGGTAGGGAGCTAATTAGAACATTTTATTTTCAGGTTTCTACCTTATCAATTATCATCTAATTGAAACACATTTCTTACATTGTTTTTGTGTTGTGCTTACCCACTACCATTTCATGTGCTTATACGTTTACAGATAATAGGCAATCGATGAATCTTGTGTTCAACAATGACCCCCTTGTTCACTCTAAACCTACTGCAGATTCTACCTGGGAAACCTCTGAAGTTTCCAAGTTCACATTAACAAGAGGGTTAACTTTAAAGCCCTACAAAGCTGACAGTATTAATGGGCAATCACTTGTGGGGGGAGTCAAGCTTTCAGGGACCACTGAAATGCGGAACAATGCATCTAACTTGTACTCGGTGTCCAATGGCACGACAGCTGAGGTCTTAAGTCAAGGTTTGTTTCGATACCAAGGAACCCCACCCTACAATAGTTTTCATTTTAAGTTCTGTTGTAGTTCTTGTTGTGCATGAACTTCCATCGTTACTCTTTTCTTCTCTTGATTTGAGTAGGAAAGATCTCTACTTTTGTGTTGGTAAGGCTAGTTCTCTCTAAAGATATCCATCAAGTCATTGAATTATTAGTAGTGAGCTTTCAGTGGCTGCATGATATCTTAGTATAACAACTGATATTTGCATTATAATCACATGGCTTGCAAGAGCACTGAAACTTCTTGATGAACCTATTGGATAAATTTTATATTCTGCACATTCCTTTTCTTGGAACTGAAATATATTTGATAGTGACATAGGAATACCTTATTGAAAGCTTTACCTTTATGCCGTAGGAAACCCTTGTATGTTGGGTTATTAAGATTGGTTCTGCAGATGATAGAAATTATTGTTGTTGCCTGATTTCTGGTTGTGATCCTTCATTTCTTTCAAAAAGCCTAATCTTACTAGACTCTCAAGGGTTCAAGTACAAATTATCCAAGTTGTTTTGTTACTGAGACCTAAAATAATGGTTGAAGCTGAATATAAATTAGGCATAATACATAAATGTGTCCTTTAACTTGGCCTCATTTCACATTTATGCCCTTCAACTTTGGATATGCACAAGTAGAGCTATCAAAATGGGTTGGCCCAACCCAACCCTAACGGGCTAGAGAGTTAAATGGGTTGGGACGGGCTGACCCTTTTAATTGAAGGGCCTATAAAATAGCAGCCCAACCCAGTCCTAAGTGGGCCACGGGTTGGGACGGCTTGGTCCTTCAACCAAAAAACGAATAACATTTTCTTGTTAGAAAGAATACGAACGTTGATGAATTACACATACTTCATAAGTTTCATCCGAGCAAAAAACATTACATGATCACTATTTTCATAAACAAGACAATAAAGGAGAAGTGAAAAATTAGGCATAAAAATAAAAGTAAAAGAGGTCAAAGATTCTTAGTTATAATGGAGTAATGGACTTGGGCTAATAAGAAAATTTAGTGAGCTAATGGCCCTAAAATGTAAAAGATATGTAAAAATTATAGTCTTGATTTTATATTGGTATTTTAAAATTATTTATTGACAAAATCTTAACAAGTAAAATACTACTTAAAATATATATATAATAAATATTTTTAAAATTCACAGCCGGCCTCTGGGCTTGCGGGTTGGGCCTACGAGGCCAGCAGGCCAAATGAGGCTGGGCTAAAAAGCCTCGTTCCTAAATGGGCTGAAAAAATTGAGCCCAACCCCATCTAATTCAAGGGTTGGGTTGGGCCGGCCTAGCGGGCCAAGCCCATTTTGACAACTCTATGCACAAGTAGACACTTAAACTTGTATAAACTTGAACAAGTAGACACATGAGTCCAACGTGGCACAATACACGTAGGACAAAAAATGACATGTAGGATGTCATGTAGGACATGTGTGTCTATTTGTTCAACTTTATACAAGTTTAAGTGTCTACTTGTGCACACCCAAAGTTGAAGGGCATAAATGTAATTTGAAGCCAAGTTAAAGGACATATTTATGTATTATGCTTATAAATTATCACGACCCAAAACCGAGGTCGTGATGGCATGTATCCTAACCCACCGATAGGTAAGCCAACCCTATAAAAGTAAATAAGTAGTGGAAGTAAAGTCTTAACATTAAGCTTTCATAGATCAAAACTGAAATGTGAAATAAAATAGTTTGCAACCCCAAAATCTGGTGACATGAGTACAAGCCTCTAAGTTATACCAATAAGATCCAAAATTACTACACTGCTTGAAAGTTAAGACAGGAAAAACACAAAAGAAATGGAAGTTTGGATGCTGCAGAACAGCTAAGCAGCTACCTACAAAGACATCAATGAACACCAACTTGATGTGAGGATCACCTAGTGCTAGTACTGGGCTCGGAACCTGCACAATAGAGGTGCAGGAAGCAACGGTGAGTACAAAAGATCACATGTACTCAGCAGCATTGTTGACCGACTTTTAAAAGAAGCAATGGCGAGGATCAGTCCTACACTGTTCCTTCAACACTTGGGCAAAAATATCAGAATAAAACCGGCAGACTAGCAGTTAAAGACAACATCAAATCAGTTCATAAACAATACCGAATCCAGCTAAAATCTGTGATTTCCACAGTAAATACAAACTATAGCACACCATCTATTTGGGTCAAATCAGACAACAAAGAGGAAAATAATTCACGTTCATTAACACTAAGCCATTTCACATTCACAAATCAACACATTATGTAAAGATGATGAGATGAATGCAATGCATGTGCTACGTATACACCCACTTTCTCTGTCCGATAGTCAGGACCCATGGAGGACACATGAGGTCTATATACTGTGCAGGCGTGCAACTCCGATCCATAAATATTATTAAATAATACATGAAGAGGTGTGCAACTCCGATCCATATATATATGTGCATGCCTACAACTCCAATCTCAATGATATTGTTATGCAAGCGTGCAATACCGATCCCAAACCTTAAAACTTTTTATCAGCCTTAACTTTTTAAAAACTCATGAATCCAACCAATAATCAAATCACTCCTGAACATTTCGGGATCCGTACCAACCACCCAATTAAGTCAAAAATCACCTTTCCAGACCTAACAGAACTGTTAGAATTTGAACCTGCACTTGTTAACCTAGAAAATTGACTTTGGTCAAACTTTAGACCTTCAAAATTGAAAATATCATCCAATATTCATCCGATCACTTTGGTAATCATGTCACCCATCCCTGCAAGTCACAAATGATATACTGAAGCTATGGAGTGGGTTAAAAAACAGGATATGCAGAAAACTCAAAACGACTATGATAGTCGTTACCCAGACGGTCTAACCAGTTTGTTGTTGGATGATCAATTCATTTGTAAGAACTAAACTTGAATGCATCAAAAACTAATAGAAGTATGCAGTGGTTGTGGATCATGACTTATTTTCTCTCTTCTCGCAATAGTACCTTGGAAAATTGAAAGATTTAGGTGACAGCATAGAGCTGTTGCCTAATACCACCAAAAGGTTCTTAGCCAAGAAAGTTTGAGATGATGGTTAGGTTAGTTATCTTGAATTACAGATTGTAAGCACTGACAAAAAGAAGTGAAGTGTTCAGTAGCATCTGTTATACAAGGAATATGCACTAAGCTTGTAAAAAATTATGGGATAAAAAGGTTTGCTTCTTTACAATATAGCTATAAGTAAACGTGTCAAGTTTATTTGAAGGTACTAAGTATCTAGTGCTGGTACACGCCAAGGGGGTAGCCCGACAGTCAAAAAACTGGAGTGACAATTTTGGCTCTGGAGACCATGGTACAAATACAAGAGAGGCACACTGGGTGAATTTATCCTATTTGTGCAAACTTTGGTGGACAAAGTTATCGATTATGTGTGTTGGTAGAGAGTTCTAGGTGGCCTGTGGATTAAACGAAGTGTCAGTAAGTTGGCCTAATGCCACTTGAAAAGAAAGGTTACCGGCTAATCTTGTTACTTTCCATTTGATGGGATGTAAATACTCTTATCAGGCACACTTAGAATGTATAGTTTCTTTCATCAGTCGAGGAAACAATGTGCAGGCAGCCAAAAATGTGGACATTTACCTTTCTTCTTAGTTCTGATTGAAAACACTTGGGCAAGCTACAGAAATGATGGGACAAAATTTTTGTTTAGCTTTGTTTGACGGGAGTTTGGAGATGAGTGACAGGAGATGCTTGAGCATTTGATTTCTTAGGCAATTTGCCTCCAGCATTGATATGTTGCTGATCGGAGTAAAGAAGATATAATATCAGGTTTCTTCTCATTAATGGTACAATAATATTGAGATTACATGTTGACTAGTTATAAATCTGCTGTTAGCAGTAGAATTTTCTGCCCCTTGTCAGTATAATAGGACTAACGTACTTGAATCCAATTTATTTTGTTTTCTTTTATGATTGGCCAAGTTACCTTTGTAAAGGCTTCTAAGAGCAATTAGGAGAAAAGGATGTAGAAATGCTATGCTATAAAGTTTAAGGAGCTGTCTTTAATCAGTTTTTTGAGAGTTCTCTTACGTTCAAATGTGTTCTCAAAAGTAACTTGAAATGCTAGATAATTATATTCACCCGAGGCACCAAGTTATTTAAAATTACACAATGTTATTACTTTTATTTCTACGATTGTTTGATTATCAATTCAAAAACCCTTTGATTTCTCTATCAGGTGTCAAGGAGACCACGTTCTCTCTAAATATGGGTGTGGCGCCAGAATTACCTCGTGCTCTCTCTCTTCTGTCAAATGAGAATGAATTTATTTCAATTGGCCACTCAACGCATGTAAACCAGATCATCATACCGGAGCAGGTGATGCATGCAATTCCTCAGAGTTTGCCATTTGAGTCCACTGAACACTGGCAAGCTGAAACAACATCTATTCAATCCACACATTCATACTTTGGTTGCGAATGGTCACAGTGGTGATAGCTTTCAGGAAATCCAGCTTTCCAAAGATCCATTTGACGATTCCTATATGTCAATGGATTGAACTGCACGGTAGAATAGTCAGCCTACTCTCAACATTGAAATGGATCTGATTTCAATTTTTGCTGGCTCTACTTTTTCCATTTAAGCAGTTGTTAAACTGACCAACCAGATGGTTCATAAGTAGGGTATTGGAAGCAGCCTTTCAGCCTTACACAAGTGCATGGAGCTCCAGATGTTGAAAGAAAGCTTTGGATTGAAAAGTATGCTGTAGATTTATTTGCTTAATAAATCAACATGGGTTGTTACTTGTTTCTGCACTTTAACATGATATTACGACAAAGATCTAATGTAATGTATGATAGGCAAAAACGCCGAGATAGTGAATTTGTCTATCTAAATGGTTCTGATATGGGATTCAGTTGAATCAGATTTTACCTTCACCTTGAATTTCGGGGTAAAAATGACTCTATTATGGTTTTGTCTTGTCAAGACGGTTGAACTTACACAACGACAAGAGCTTTAGTAAATTTTGATACTTGAAGTTTCTTAGTCTTATGTTAGAAATCATTTGTGCTGAGCTGAGATCCTGGGAATTTTCTGATATCAAAATGAAGGTATCAAGGGAATAAATTGCAAATAAGAAGAAGAATTAAGAGGAAGAGGAAGAACAGACGAGAAATTGAGAGAGAATTAGAGAGGAAATGGAAATTGTATTGAGCTAACACATTCAAATCATGCCTTACAAGTATCATCCATTCTTATTAATACTACTTAATTAGAATTAAAGGAAAATACAATGAATTGTAAAAATGGACACAGTAATTGGCTCCAACTACTTTTCCCGCAAAAATAGTGATCAGGCTAATGGTGTGATCGTCCAGCTTAGCAATGATGTGTCACCTGCCATGTGATTGAAGTATTACATGGCTCTTGAACCCAAATTGGTATCAATACCCCCTGTGAAACAAGACCCTTGTCCACAAGGGTGATAGAAGGAAACCTAGTCTACAATGTAGAAGCCAGTTCCCAAGTTGCATAAGATTGATAAAGGCCAGACCACTGGATAAACCACTAAGCAACCGTCTTATTACCATGCTTCACCATTCGTCGCTCCAAGATTTATTCAGGCTCAGGGCAATGAGGACTAGACAAGTCAATGACAAGAGGATGCACTATAGTACTGGGAAGTTCATGACAGAGTATGGAAGATAGGATGGATTTGCACCTCAGGAGGGAAAAGGAGTTTGTAAGCCACAACACCAATCTTCTCCACAACAAGATATGGAGCAAAATATCTAGAAGTGAGTTTGTGATATGAAAAAATACATAACGAAGATTGTCTATAAGGTTGAAGTTTAACATAAACCCAATCACCAACCTGGAAATGCCTATCAGACTTATGAGTATTGGCCTGTGCACTCATCCTTTGTTGGGCTCGATGCAAATGAAACTTAGCCAACTCGAGTTTAAACTGTCTGCTTAACATAAAATCCTCAACAACATCAGATTCAGAGTCACTAGGCAAGTATAGAAGATGTTAGGGGAGGATAGCCATAAAACAACTCAAAAGGAGAAGTTTGAATAGAAGAATGTGGGCTAGAGTTGTACCACCATTCAACTAAGGCTAGATAAGAACCCCAATTAGCAGGAGCATCAGTACAGAAACATCTGAGATAAGTTTCAAGACACCTATTTAGAACCTCAGTTTGTCCATCAGTCTGAGGATTGTAAGTTGTAGAAGTCTGCAAGGACACCCCCCGAGTACTTAAAAATGCCTTCCAAAAGTTGCTAATGAATATAGGATCCCTATCACGGGTTATAGTTGCAGGAAACTATGCAACTTGAAAATGTTACCTAAGAAGATACGAGCAAGAGATTGCGCACTATAGGGATGTGATAAGGCAATGAAATGACCAGCTTTGTTAATCTATCAACTATTACCCAAATAACAATTTTGCCTTTAGATCTAGGGAGTCCTTCAATAAAGTCCATACATATACCTGTCCACGGTAAAGAAGGTATAGGCAGGGGCTTAAGCTGATGTATCATACTTGTTCCTTTGTCACATAGCACACTTGTGCACAAAATCAACTATATCTGATAGAATACCTGTAACACCTCGAAACCCAGACCCAGAAAGAAATTTCAAAAATATACCTGAAGCAGCGAACCACGACAGGGTTCACGGACCGTAGACCTGCCCGTGGTCTTGACTTGGAAGTCACCAGGCCCAGACATCAGACCACGAGTACCTTCACGGTTCGTGGTCTTGATGATGGGCCGTGGTGGCTCCCGTAGAGTCAAGGCAGTGAACCTCCCTAGCCAGCCCCATAGACCGCCACGCCTAAGTGAGGACCACGAGGACCTTCATGGTCCGTGGTCCTTCACACGACCCATGGGAGCGTCCATGGAGCCTTACCAGTAAGCTCCCTAGCTAGTCCCTCCAGACCACAGCCCAAGTGGAGACCACAGACACTTTCACTATCCGTGGTCTTTCACACGAGCCGTGGTAGGGCTCGTGGACTCAGGCCTTCAACTAGTAGTCACCAAGTCCAGACCACGACCGACTTCAGAGTTCGTGGTCCCTTTCACGGTCCGTGAAGGTGGTCGTGATCAGTCCGTCTGCAGTTTAAGTCAGGGTTATTTCGGTCTTTTCCTTATTCGTTGGACACCTAAACTACGTCGTTTTAATCCTAAATTTAGTGGTTTTAGTCAGTTTAAACCTAGAAACATAACTAGAACTTACCCAAGTCAGATCTTTAATCACACTTAGAAAATTAGAAGCGCAAGGAGAGAAAGAGGCGACCAACCCTAAGTTCAAGAACGCAACAAGTTTCCTCCAGTTCCAGCCCCGAAATTGAAAGCTTTCTCTGTGGAATTCATCACTAGGTATGTGGGATTTCACTAGTGGGTTCCTTTCACCCATTAGGTCCCTAGTTTTCAGTCAGTTCTTGACTCCCTTATTATGACTAGACCTAGGATTTCTTGAATGCTAGAATTGTTGGGTTCTTAGCTGTTAGAATGATCCAAATCAGATTAGTACATTAATATTCAGTTTATTGCATGAATTCCAGAACCTTAGCTATGTATTTCTTTAGTTCTTGAATTACACATGCTAGGTCAGATATTTCAGCTATTCAGTTGTACATGCCTCAGTTATTAATGCATCAATATCAGTTTAATTGTTGCATCCTCAGTTTGCATGTTCAGTTTGAGCTATCCAGTAACTTACAGAAATTCAATCATAATGTGTAAATTACTCAATCCACTGGGAGTAGCATAATACCGAGTTGGACTAAGGTTCAGCGTCCTCAAACATTCCCAGAACTACTAGCCACGTATGTTGTAAGTCACCTCTGTGGGCATCATTTCAGTGATCACGCCAGCATGCCTCTCCACCTTTGGCCGGGTGTACTGGGTCCTCTCGATGGGGCGTATACATCTGACTCCACATTTAGCTCATGTGGTTTTATTATCGGTTATTAGTAGCTCCCACAGTTCAGTCAGATTCTATTGCATTGACTGCGACATCGGCCAAGGCATGCACAAAAAACCGTGGTGTGTGCGCATCTGGCAAAAGACATCGGGCAACGGCACGCAGCATCAACCAAGGCCTACATGCATCAGCCGTGGCCTGCGCGCATCGTCCAACGACAAGAGACATCGGCGAAGGCCTGCACGCATCAGACGTGGCATGTGCGCATCTGGCAAACGACGTCGGCAATCGGCATGGAGCATCAGCCAAGGCCTGCACGCATAAGCCGTGGCGTGTGCGCATCGACTGGGCGTCAACGGCCGTGGCCTGCACGCATCGGCCAACAACAGGCGACTACACATCGATCTGTCGATGTCGAACGTGGCCTGGCAGTATCGTCAGTGGCCTGCAGAACGCAGTCAGCCGACGTCGGACGTGGAATGCACACAATGGTCAACCGCGTCAAAATTGGGCTGGCACTATCGTCAGTGGCCTGCACATATCAGTCAGCCGATGTCGGACGGGGTTACCACAATAGTACGTAGCATGCACACATCAGTCTTCCAACGTCGATGTATTAGTATTTAGTCTCAACATGTTATAAATTGGTCATTGCATTCAGTTAGCTCAGTATTCAATAACTATATCATGTTCAGATTATATCATTGCTTATGTGCTTTGTTCAATTATATGTTATTTCAACTTTATTCTATCCTGCATGCTCAGTACCTTTCAAGTACTGATGCATACTATGTGCTACATCTTCTCGTGATGTAGGTTCAGGTTCTCAGCATCCAGATCACGCTTAAATCTATTCTCGATCTCCAGTTCAGTAGAATCAGTGGTGAGTCCTCATTCTCCAAGGATAATAGTCATGAGTTTCTTTTCAGTATTTTCAGTCCTTTAGTTCAGTTTTGCTAGACTTAGTTGGGGCTTGTCCTAACATTCTAGTCAGTTAGAGGCTATTTTCAGACTATAGTTTAGATTCAACTTAGTATTGAGTTAATATCTTCTTTGTATTAAACTCATCAGTTTTCATTTATCTCAGTTATAGTATATGGGTATTCCCCATCTTTTCATTTTATTTATATTTTAGCTTATGCATCAGTTTATTATCTTTAGTATGCTCATGATCATGCTAGAAGGGTTAGTTGAGATCACTTGTGGTCCTAGGTCCCGTGTCCACGTCTCGGGGGTAGTTCAGGGTGTGACAATACCCTTCCAATAAAAGTAGGTCATGACCTTCCTAGTAGTGGAATAAATGCATGAATGCCCACCAATAGGAGTAGAATTCCATAGTGATAAGATTTTGGCCCTAAGGGAAGCATTATCACCAATAACTAATTTCCCTTTTCTTCTCGGTTGTGCATTAAGCCAAGTGAAATGCTTATGAGGTTGCGCTTGCAAGGATTGAATAAGGACCTGTAACGTAGGATCCGTAGACCAACTAGCTTTGATCTCATCCCATAAATCAGCTTGTACTAAAGACACCATCATGGACATAAGTTCTGCACCTTGGATCCTAGACAAAGCATCGACAACCAAGTTTTTCTTACCCTTTTATACTGAATTTCAAAGTCGAAAGGCAACAGTTTAGCCAACCACCTACTCTGAAAATCTGTACGTAGGTTTTGCTCCAATAGATACTACAAGGATTTGTGATGAGTTTTAAAAATGAAGTGTTGACCAAGTAAGTAGTGGGCCCACTTGGTGACAGCAAATACCAAGACCAATAATTCCTTCTCGTACACAGATAAAGCAACATGGCATGCAGATAAACCCTTGCTAATGAAAGCAATAGGGTGGTCATGTTGCATAAGGACAACACCAATTCCAATACCACATGCAGCTGTTTCAACAACGAATGGAATCGAGTAATTAGGTAGAGCTGATTTCAACTCCATAAAGGCTTGAAAAGCACTGTTAGACCATATGAAATTATCCTTTTTCAGTAACTCAGAATGAAACCATATCTCTGAATAAATTTTCTATAATAACCTGCCAGACCTAAGAAACCCCTACATTGTTTAAACGTACTAGGAACAGGCCAACTCTTAACAACCTTGATATTTCTTTGGGAGTGGAAACCCCTTCATAGGATATAAAATGCCCCAAATACGCACTTTGATTGCTTTGCCAACAATTAACGGTTGATCATAAGGTCAAAACATAACTTCAAATGGTTGGCATGATCCGATAATGACCTACTATAAATCAAAATGTCATCGAAGAATACTAATACAAATTTCCTCAAATGTTGCTGGAAAATGTGATTCATCAAACATTGGAATGTAAAAGGTGCATTAGTTAAGCCAAAAGGCATAACTAGGAAGTCATAGTAACCCATATGAGTTTTGAAAGCAGTTTTAGGGACATTATCAACTACCGTCCTAATATGGTGATAACCAGATCTCAGATCCACCTTGAAAAATACTCTTGCTCCTGTCAAATCATACAAGAGTTCATCAATAATAGGGATAGGAAACTTGTCCTTTATTGTCACTGATTAAGCTCCCTATAGTCTACACATAATCTCCATGTTCCATCTTTTTTCCCACAACCACCACTAGAGAAGAGAAGGGGTTGTTAGTATATTGAATAACACCTTGTTGGAGCATGTCGCTAACCAACTTCTCTATAATATCCTTCTTCATAGATGAGTATTTGTAAGGTCTAACATTGACAGGTTTAGCTCCATTTTGTAAAGGAATCTTACGATCAAATGCCTTAGAGGAGGTAAGGTTGTAGGTTCAGAAAATATCTTATGATATTGATAAAGTAAAACAACAATTTTAGGTGCTATGGTTTCCTCCTTTGATAACTGTAGGGCAAAATTCTATCCCATAGAGTCCCATTCATAACTTGCAACATTTGTAACATGAATAATTCAACCTGATCTCCTGATAACTTGTTCACAACTTTGGAACTAGTCAACCTACAATCTTCATGCACCCCTTTAAGTATATGTTTCTTCCATTGGTGATTGAACGATATAGTAAGCTCGGTAAAATCAATGGTCATTGGACCTAGTGTCTTCATCCATAATGCTCCCAGAACAATATCATATCTACCAATAGGGAACACTATTAAGTCAGACAGATAAGTAGTGCCCTGCAGTATCCACTCAAAGTCCCTAACGACTCCAGTTGTGGTCTCCTTAGCAGTATTACCAAAACTCACATAGCTCGTGGGAGTAGGAATAACAGTGCATCCCAACCTTTTCACACAATCTTTATCAATAGAATTGTGTGTAATACCTCCATCAAGTAATATTTGAACTGGTCTCTTACCACTATAACCCTTCACATGAATAGTTTGCGCACCCTGAATTCCAACAAGGGCACATAATGAAATCAAAGTAGTAGCACCATAGTCTATGGTTTCACTTTTCACATACTTGTTATCATTAATTGGAGATTTCAGTTCAAGCTCTAGATCGTCTAACTCGATACTGTCCATTTCTAGCATAAATAACTGCTTAGGGAGATTACATTTATGACCAATGTTGTACTTCTCATTGCAAAAGTAACACAACTCCTGAACCCTCTTTGCTTGCATTTAAGCTAGGGAGATAGTTCTCCTAGGTCTGCCTCCAATAGAAGATGGTGAATTCAATAGAGTTCCCTGATTATAATTGGTAGGTTGTGACATTGCAACAAATGTCTTCTGATGTTGCTTCCTAACAATTCCTCCTTGTACTCCAGATGCTCTTTGAGATCTAGCATTAGCTAGCTAAGTAGCTTCAGTTAGTCTAGCCAACCTAAGAAAAATATTTTTTTCATGATAAATTTTCAAGAGAAAAATATAAAATAACATTGCGGGATAGAAATCCATTGCAAAAATCGCGAAGTTGTTCAATTAATTAGGTTCACTGCTCAAAATATTTTCCGGCGAGACATCTAAAATTGGTCAATCCTTACTATTACCACATCAAATTCATCAAGTCAACACGGATTATTCAATTTATTTTTGTGTTTTTTTGTTGATTGTGAGCATTTGAAATAAGAAAATTTTCAAATCTTGCTTTTTATTTTGTATAATTTTTCTTTGGGTTTTTGCACAAAATTCAAATTTTTAATGTATGTTCATAGATCTTTCTTCTCTCAGAAAAATCCTCTCTAGATTTTCTTCAAAATCAGTAATAGTAAATCGAGCACTAGATTTTCAATTGCCTGACTAAAATCTTTGCAAATAAACATTGCAAGTTTTCACAATTCTCCTCTTTGAGCTTGAATGAAATTTGTAATTGTGATAAAAAAAATTGGTGGGTTTGGTAATGGGTGAAAAATTAGTGGTGGTATGACTTTTAATTTCAATAATGACAATGAAACTCGTGATTTTGATGTGGATGTTGAATTTATGGTTATGATAAATTTCAATGATAGTGATGCGGTTCCGATAGTGAATTTATTTAAATTTATGATGGTTGTTGTCGATTTTTTATGATGACAATGGTTGTGGGAAGATTCTGGTGGTGAATTTGATTATGGGTAGTGAAATCTATGGTGGTGGAGAAGTGAATTTGATGATAATAGCAACAATGATAGTGATTTGATGGTGTATAGGGAAGAAGAAGAAATTGGGTGACATGATTTTTTTTTTAAAAAATCTGACGTAATTATTGATGTGGCAGTGACATGGTGATGACGTGACACGAGTGTGAAACACTTTCTCATCATGTGACTGGATGTATATGCGTCAAGATTGAAACAACTTTTAAGTAATTCAAGTGTGTCATAGGTCGTGACAATAGTTTAAGTGTGTAACTGACAAGTTTAGGGGAGAATTTATGCCTTTTAGTGTAAAAAATACATCTAAACTATTATTTTTTTTTAGTTTTATACTGGTAGTATGAGTTTTATAGCTAAACTATCACTCATTAGTTTGAGAAACACACTTCATTGATGTGTATAATACACTCTCTTTTATTTTAAAAAAAAATACTTGTCACATAGAGCAGCATGGATAAAATATTCCACATTGACAAAAATTAAATAAACTATTAATATTAGTTAAAAGTTAAAGATTAAAGTATTACAATCCAAAAAAAAGGAAATTATTTTTTAAAAGTAAAATTTAAAATACTTTTCTCACCTCACTCCACCACTTTCCTCTGTACCCCCTTCCCCCCAGACAATCCCTCTGTTTTTGATTGTCTTGTAATAAATGGACATGACAGATTAGATGGATCGACTAAACTTCACAATTCTGTAGCACCTTGAAAAGAAATTTTATTAACCAAAAATGGCAAACGTTAAAAACTAGTGAAGAAACAATCAAAACAAGGTGCTTAACAAGCATTCCTTCGACTTTTCACATAAAATCAAACAAAGTGCATCCATAAAGACATAGCAAAGGTTGGTAATTGGTATTACTAAGATCTACTTCCCAGTGATTCAAAAGGCACATCTACCCGCGCCATATCAATGCAAAGTGCACGTCCAACACCTAGGTACCTCTCAGGAGTTCAAGCCTGGTGAGGTGTATGCTACCGATGTGTCATCCAATAGCACATTAAAGGCCTCTTACTCGCATTAAAGGAAAAATACATAAATAACCCTCCACATGTGTTCCCAAAATTCATGTAAGAATGTTTAGTTCAATGAATATACGTATATATATATTAGGAAAACAAGGTTAAACTAAAGTACAAAATGACATACTCTCTTAGGTATTGCCATTATATACAAAGGTAGTGACGAAAGTAGTTTACAGAAAGTATTTCATCCTAACATCTCTCTTCATGGCCTCGTATACAGCTTGAACCTGGACGAGGGCAATCATGTCATACAATGGATCATGGCACGGTGGATTGACAAATTTAAGGTGCAAAAGCCAAAGGATATTACCTGCTCACTGGAAACAACTTGAATGGGTCCGATATTTACTGATACGTATTTTCCACCTGAAGATAGCTTCTGCTTCACCTGGCCCTGAATAGAAGCAGAAATACCTTAAGATATGGCTCAATCTAGTTCGCCTTAACACACAGATTAAGGTTCGATTCAGTTCAAATTCTCTTTCTCTCTCTCACACACACATAGTGTATAGTTAATTACGTCCCCATAGAAGCATGTCTGTACTATTAAAAAAGTTAAAAGATAATCAATAGGAAAGAACCAACATACACACCGAATAGTTAAAAAAAACGGGAATTTTGTGCTTGCCCCTTTTAGTCTTTGGGTTGATACCTGGTTTTCATGATACTAGCGCTTATGGCTTAAAATTTCTTGCCTTGTCTTCAAATCCTCTACATGCACTAATGGTTGCTGAAAAGGAAAGAGGCTCAGAGCCTCTGACTAGCAGGTTGGGACACCAACTTAAGGTATTCTGGCCCGTAAATTACTTAGGGGTTATTTAGTTGCTGGTTTGAAAGAAAGTTAATCATGTATTAAAACTCACATAATTAATATCACGTTTGCTAGTTTTTTAGTTGCTTTTTATAAAATTCAGCAATCAAGAACTGTGTTTGATTATCATTTTACAAACCTGCATAAATAAAACATGTATAAGTTATGACTAAATTTATATATTAGTTTATGTGGGGTAGAAGATTGGAATAACTAATACATGGATTGTAATACATGAATAACTAAACTTCAGGTAACTAATCTCTACATTACTAATAACTGCATAATTCTAACAAGCAACCAAATGACCCCTTACTGTATGTAGTCTGATCATAGTCCACTTTTCGATCAGTTGTGCTGAGAAAACAAAGACATTTCCCTCTAGAAGGTCTTATTTTGTACATGAAGCATGCACATTTCTAGCATAGATACAAACATAAGAAGATAGATTTTCCCAAATATGTAGGACACGAGACAATGACATGACAACCAATGCTTTTTTATAACCGAGAAATCATTGTTTGCAACTTTGGAACTCGGTGGGTATTGGATTGGCTCCTCTACTCTTCTCCACTTAAATATCACACTTCATTCAAAGCAGGTTTCGAATTCGCAATGTGTATCGACCCCACATCCCATGCTATAGTATCTTTACCATTGAACCAACGCTATGGGGTCATGAAAACCAATGCATTAACTAATGATATGCCTGTTTATAGCTCCGATCATTTTTTGTGACATGTGAATCTTTTTTTAAAAAAACTAATGTAGTTCCATACATATGGCCATAATTATCTACTCTTGTCAACTTTTTGCAACACAAATACCTTGTGTAATTAGTAAATTATTAGAGGTGGCCAGCATAGCCCTGAATGCTGATGAATACAAATTACCGATTTCCAAAAAAATAAAAATACCTTGTGTAATTAGATTACAACATTAGTTCACCTCTTCCATTTTCATTTTTTGTTGTCATACAAGAAATACATTCTAGGAGCTCAAAATCTATAACTCCCTCCGTTTCATGTTATGTGACTCAATTTGACTAAGCATGACGTTTAAGAAGAAAGGAACATCTTTTAACATATCATAAGGATCAAAGAGGTTTTGAAGTGCTGGAATAGAGATGGAAATGCAGGAAGAAAGGAGGAGAGATGGAAGATTGTCCCATCATGTATATGGTGGACAGTATGGCTAGAGAGGAACCAGAGATGTCATGAAGGAAAGCAGAGCAACATACAAAGATTTAAGCTTAACTGTTTAGCTCTGTATTATTTTTGGTGTAAACAAGTAGTCTTAGATAGCTCAGAAGTAATCAGCACAACTATAGACTGGCTGTAACTTGGTAGGTATAGGAGCCTATGTAACTACAACACTTTTGGAGGGGAACTACACTTTTGAGGTAGTATACCTGTGGATAAATATAGACTAACTGTTACTTTTATCAAAAAAATAATAATTTGTGTGGCCATCACATTAGAAACTTATGGTCTTAAGCTTGTCATCACATTTGTGTGACTAAAACTTTAGGGGTAAAATGGAAAATTCAAGTTAGTAGTTTTCAGATTTAGAAAAGGATCATTCTTTTTAAAACAAACTTTAAAGGAAATAGGGTCACATAAATGGGAATGAAGGGATCATAAGATTAATGACTAACTTCTAGAAAGAATACCATTATGTATAGGATGAGAGAAATTTCATGATATACTTCACAAAACTGGCATTGTTTTGTGAGGATCTTTTATGGTTGATAAGTGTTTTTGTAGGTCCCGATCACACCTCACAAACAAACACCTCTCTTATACGTCTATTTATTTTTCAAACCTTCTCTTTCAACTATTTCCACTCCCACGGTCAGTCCCTCCTCCTCACACACCCAAGTTCTTTTTCTCTCAAACTCCTCTTATACTTGAAAGGGCATAGTTTTTTGTTGTATCTTTCATCTCCATTATTTTTTGATTATTTAACTTAATATTATTAAATCATGGATGAAACTTATTTAGCTTCATGCAACTGTCAAGAATCTTAAAAGAAAATGGGTTTGATATTCTTTCTGGCATATTTCAATGATTTCTTAATTACCAGATGCCAAAAGTGAAATGAGTAGAACTAGAAAAAGATATCATGGCAAAGTCTTGTTAAGGGATTTATTTAGAATAGAAAAGGGTCATATTTTCCTTTGTACTCTTAGAAAAGGGTTAGATTTACCCTTCATTATATTTTTTGGTTATATTTGCCCCTACCATCCAACTTTGGGTTCATATTTACCCTTTCAGCTGTTAAGTTCCACATCACCCTTTTTATTGTCCTACGTCGCTTCTATGTGGCACCTACATGGATATAATCTTTCTCTAATTTAATTATTATACCTCACCCCAATATTATAAACCAGAGTTGAGAACGCCCAAAGGGAGGTTGCTAGGGTTTCTGCAACTGCAGCGTAATGGGGAAGGGAATAGGAAGCTTTGGTAAGAGGAGGAACAAGATCCACACACTATGTGTGAGGTGTGGAAGACGGAGTTTCCATCTCCAGAAGAGCCGTTGCTCTGCTTGTGCTTACCCTGCTGCCCGTAAAAGGTCATACACCTGGAGTGTGAAGGCAATTCACAGAAAGATAACTGCAATTGGCTGCATGATTCGTAACGTCCCTCACAAGTTCAAGACCAATTTCAGAAGGTACTGAAGCAGCTCCAAGAAAGAAGGCAGCAGCTTCGGCTTGAGGCCTTTGAGACAGATACTTGAGAGGCTATTAGTGGTAGCGTAATTTTGATATTTCGAGTGTTAGAGACTTAGAGCTAATGGAGATAATTATTGTTTTGTGTACAAATTTGCATCACCATATGCTTTTTAAAATCAATTTCTATGTAAAGTGGTTACAATATTGGGGGTGAGGTGTAATAATTAAATTAGAGAAGATTATATCCATGTAGGTGCCACGTAGGATAATGAAAGGGGTGATGTGGAACTTAACAGTTGAAAGGGTAAATATGAACCCAAAGTTGGATGGTAGGGGGAAATATAACCAGAAAGTATAACGAAGGGTGAATATATCCCTTTTCTAAGAGTACAAGGGCAAATATGACCCTTTTCCCTATTTAGAATGTTCCATTTTTCTCTTTCCAGTAAGTATTTTATTCATGCCCTTTGAGTTGCCTTAAATTGTTTTTACTAAAACGAATTTTAGCAACTATCACTGGAATCAGCATAAGATGAAACAGAAATAGAACAAAATTCACCTTTTTTTGGCAAATATGTAATAGTAACCTCCAGATTTACCTCAGTTTTTTTTTTTTATAACCGTGGTGTCCGGGCCAGCTTTCATGCACCTCGACTAATTCCACGGGATATCGATCTCCTCCCACCAGCAGGTACCAGTCCACCAAGGCTAAGATAGATAGAAAGAAATCACCTAGTGTTTTTGTCTCTGCTGGGATTTGAACCTGAGACCTCATGGTTTTAAACCCACTTCATTGACCACTAGGCCACACCCTTGTGTGCATATAACCTACAGATTTACCCAAGTTTTTTTTCTTTTTATTTTGGCTTCTTCAAATTCTTACATTTTGCTGCAATATACTGTGATTCTCTTTTTCTTCTTATGTTTCTCATTCATTACTTTGTGAGTTTCTTTAGAGTTTTGTGGTTGAACTCACCGAGTTATTGATGTTAGAGAGGAAGGTGTGACAAAAAAGAAAGGTCCGAGAAGAAAGGTACTGGGAGTGTGAAAACAAGCAAAGTCTGGGAAGTAAAAAAGAGATAAAAGAAAAGGCGAAAATGAGATATAAGAGAAAATGGGAGTTTGTTTGTTAGGGATTGGGACCCACAAAAGCCACATGTCCTGAAATAAAAAGCTCCATACAACCAGTGTCATTTGTGTGAGACATAATAATAAGCTTCATAGAATGATTGGAATGACTTCACAGAGAATGGTGGTCGACTCCGCTCAATCACTTCGCAAATTATTGTTTACAACATCCAGGTGCAAGCAATATCAATGAAATGATCTTGACTTATGAAACAAAAAAGTCAGACTATTACAACATCTCAGTGTAACATCAATGGGATGATCTCGACTAAAAGAAATCAGATATGAGAGTAACTTGTACAAAGAACTGACTTGCAATATCTGGTCTCAGTTCATTCCTGAAATGAAATTTGTCATTTGAGTTCCAAGAGAAAGTGAAGTTGAAGATAAAAGGATGAGATGCTTGAGATTTGTGAGATCTTCCACAAGGAATACTCTAGAGAAAGAGCAGGTGGTGGCACCTAAAAGATTGATCTCTCTTCAGGAAACCTTTATGCCAATTTAACTGTATACAATTTTGACACTCTAGCTGAACTAGATCCTTGCCTACTGTCAAGAATATCTATATTTGTTCAAGGGAGTAGTGTAGAATATCTAGAATGTTAATTAGGAGATTACTTTGGAACAATACAGTCCTTCTAAATAAAGTAACTAATTAAAATGGACAAACAACACTCTTACAGCTTTGGTCTAATGGAAAGAGCACAGTGCGTGATGTGTGGGACTGTGGGTTAGGCACATGTACGGGTTCCAACCCTGCCATGGACAAAAGCCCGATATTTAAGTAGAGAAGGGTAGGGCCAAACCTATTATCTACCGAATTTTGAACTGTGCACCACTGGAGGGAATTGTCAGTTATCAGGAAAAAAAAAAACAGACGAACAACTCCCAAGTCCTCCATAAAGAAGACACTTTGTATTGAGTTTTAAAATTAAGAATACTAACAGATTCTGCATCTCCTTATTTCACATGATATCAGAGCCAACAAGGGAAAACATCGGAGTCTAAATGCTTAGTCACCGGAAATGTTTTCTAGCAAGATTGGAAAGTGATTCATTCACTTTCTCCAAAACTGTATCAATCCTAATAGGAAATTGATCAACCAACCAAATCAAAACTTTGCCTCAACGAGATGAACGTAGCATCCAATATGTCTAATCTCATCAGCTTAGTGGCACGTGTCCATCTCCAATGTGTCCATATAGCACCATCAACCATATCATTCGCCCCTGTCTGCTCAATCATCACACCACATAAGCAAATTACATTCCCTGCAAGGGTTTCATGACATCCTGAATTGAAATTAAAATCTCCAAATTTGACTCCTAAACAACAATGGAAACCAAGAAACCGTAGTTTGTCTAATGTTTACTTCTTTGAAGAATTAGATTCTTGGAGGAGGATTTCATTTTGAAGAGAACCAATGTATCACACACAGCAGTAGAAATGGACAGGTCACCGCCATATGCTAGGATATACTTAGGTTTCCATGCCGCATCGCTAGCCATCAAGAAATAAAACCATTATACTTTTTGGTACTAATTAAAGTCAGTTCCTAAAACTCAAGGTAGCTAATAAGTCTTCAACCATCTCCTTCGTACGTACCGATAACTCAGCACGCCTCACTCACACTTCATCTTTTGTTCACTCGATTTCTGATTCATGTACCTTAGATCACATATCTGGTAGATAATTTTTTTCATATCAATCCACTCCTTTATCACTATCCATAGCCAAACTTATCAATGGTACCAAAACAATGGCTAAGGACACTTGTCAAGTCTCTATTATTCCACTAAATCCTCATTGATATGGTATTTGATTTTCCATATTAAGTTTCACATAACTTACGTGAGTTCAATACCGAAAACCAAATGTTGTATTGACTATACAAAGATTATATTAATAATGAAATCAAACATTGTGTAAGTTAAAGTCCGTTTGGATTTTTAGATGGGAGGATATTTTTAAATGGTTCAGCGTTTCTTTGGTGATGCCAAGATCCGTGAAGGAGTTGATGTTCAGCTGTAAGAGTGGAGCTAGGAGAAGAAAGCACAAGGCCTGGAATGTTACTCCTCTTGCTTTAATGAGGGCCATTTGGAAAGAGAGAAATTTGGAGAGATTTTGAAGGGGTGGAGATGAGCTTTGCTCATTTGAGGAGTAGGCTCCAATCCCTTATTTACTTTAGGTGCACCCATGTAGTTTCTCTGTATATAGAAGATTGAGTGTCTTTTGGAGAGAACCATGTTTTGTAGATTTTTCCTCTTTTTGGTATACCACTTGTAAATGGTCAAGTTGACCTTGTTTATTACCGAAGAAACCTTTTACTTGATTTTAAAAAAAAAAAAAACAATGCAGTGGGTCTTTAGGAAATTCTGGCATGCACCAGTAACTTCAAGAAAATTTAAGAACATGCATCATGGTTTGTGATTCTGTGATGGATAAGCAAGTGTTTTGCATCTTTATTAACTTCTTAACACATTATCATCTATTCCATATAGTTATACTTCTTTGTAGATTGTGCAGGGTCAAGCAAGTCTCTCCTATACTAGCCATGAAAAAATTCTACTTTGTAAGGTGTTTTGTTTCTCCATATCAATTTTTATGGGCATACTTATTCTTGTTCATTTTGAGACAAAAAATCATATCAAGATTTCATTGTGAATAGGTCATCCTTATCCTATGTTCCTTCCATACTGTCCTATCTGGCATTAACTGTTGACCTTGGAAGCTTTCTATCATCAGTAGTTCCCGATCATTTCACCTTCTCCTTGAGGGAAATTGGCTTGGTTCTTCTTATGGTGTCAAATGGGTGAGTTGGTCAAATTTGGGCATGTCAAAACAGTTGAGTCAATGGACGGTCATGACCTAACTCGCCTAAAATCTGTTTGGGCCAAAATGGGTTGGATTGAGATAGGTTAAATTGCAGGTCATAAGTCAACCCACCCAATAGTTATTAATATTGAAGCAACACTGAGTCAAAGTTACTCAACATCTGCTTGGGTCAATACTTGTGGAAGGTGAGACATAGGATGGGAAGCTGGGTGGAAGGTGGCGTGAAGATGGTGCTTTCAGTCTTAGTCAATGTTGGACTTCGACCAACACTTAGATCATAAGGCAGTTAGAAGAAGCATATCGCAATAACTGAATTCTGAAACTTTGGCCCTTAGACAATACTTTGACACGAACAGAGTGCAACTGAAGAATTTCACAGGTTTATTAGCTGATCAGTTTAAAATATGGGTCAATTCAGATAACAACCCAATTGACTCATTAAGAAAATACATATGATCCAACACTAAAAGTTTGGGCGAGTTCGGAGGATTACACATTTCTAGGTCAAATTTGACACCTTAAACAACAATAAATCTAGTATATAGTTCCACAAATAGGGTCCGGGGAGGGTAGAGTGTACACAGACCTTACCTCTATCTTGTTAGGTAGAGAAGTTGTTTCTGGAGGGAGTAATAATTTTTCTTTCTCATTTTCCTTCTATATACTTAAGGATGAGACAAATCATACCACATAACTATGACTTTGAAGTGAAGACAACAATAGTTCTTACGCCAATCTGACTTTAAAACAAGACAGTAATTCCACTGACCCCTTGAAAATCACCCACAACATTTGTGTCTCACTGACTCAACTATACCAATTAATTCTTTTCTCTCTCCCTTTCTTTTTCTATATACCAAAGGAGGGGACAGATCAGACCACACAGAGGCAGATGTAGCATACCAATATCAGGTTCATTTGAACTCAATACTTTCAACACAAAGAATAAAAATTTTAATGTAAATTACACAGAAAGTTGAGATCCTTGGCTCTGTTTAGATTTTAGATTCAGATATCTTGTTTTGTTGATAAGTTGTAATCATGGTTTTCAGTACAACCCATGTACTGGTTTTAGTCAATACAGACGAATGTTACCTTGCTCAAAAAAAAATTGCAACAAATAGTAGATTTGTAACCACAACTTTAAAGATGTAATGGGTTCAATGCTAAGAACCTTAAATGTTGAACCCATAAAACTTCAATCTTTTTTTTTTCTAAAAATTAATCCAATAAACTTCAATCTTGGATCCGCCTATGATACCACACGGCTACAATTTTGATTTGAAGACAAAGATAGTTTTTACACCGCTCTAACTTAACTAGGACAATAATTCTACTGGCCCTTTGACTCTTCAAAATCGCCTTCAGGTAAGATAGAAGATCACTTTACATTTCATGTTGAACTGGTGCTGCTGGGCCGTCATGAGCTAGTCAGTAAAGTCAAGAACTCCCAATTTCATTGTTGTTTATTTCACTTCTCGTTCTTCAATATTTTGTATTGTAACCTCATAGTGTGGTTTTCATCTACTGCAATACACTTAGTGCAATTCTGAAATTGACATTCATAATTTCCATCATTTAAAATATTCAGTAGTGGAGATTAAATTGAGCCGAAGAATAATTTCAGCAAGCTTAGAAGCTCAGTAAGAGCCAAGGTGTGGTTGTTTAAGTTTCAATCATAACTGGAAGAACTTGACTCGAATGTCAGAAGTATAGATGCTAATACTATACAGCGTAATTCTTTGAAGAGAACTTTCTTCACTTACATCTCCAGTAATACAAGGAGTAGTCATATTTCAGTGTAAGCAAAAACTCTTTCAGAAGCTTCTCAATGTTTTCATATGATAGCTAAGTCGAAGAGAAATATATTTTCTATTCGTTTGACTTTGGAGATCACGTTTTTTAACTCAATTCTCCATCAACTTACAAACAGCTGAAACAGTTTGGACAATATATAATACTTCATTGTAGGAGAACTGCAATTGAGCAGCATAGAACAGCTCGACATCAAGAACAACCCCAGAACCTGTCCTGTTTCCTCATCATATAAAGTTATAAGCATACAAAATTTTATCTTTGACAATAAAATAGCTAAGCTGTTATCCATTCACACACTTATAGTTGTTTGGTGACTTGATTCAATTTCCACTCAATATCATGTAGAGGCCAAGCACAGCCAATAGTTTATCATCTCTAGAATAAAAGAGAATAAGCAAAGTATGGCCAAAAAGAAAAAGCACAAATTAACTAGTAATAGAAGAATCAAACTAGTCATGTAATCCTCCAAAAAAATCCAAGTTTAATCCTCATTCTTGAATTAGTGCTCCAACTATTCGTATAAATTTAAATAGATGTACGCTGAGTTGAGTATATTAACTAATTCCCCTTACCTGGGGAACGGGCTGTTGTATCACTGACTCTACAGCAACAATCATAGAATGCACAAAATCATCACCTCCAGTACCAATAGCTGTAAAGCCTCTTTCAGTTGGGTAAGAATTCACCTTTAAGTATAAAAGTATTTATCAGCTTCTCCTCAAAGTAAAAACAGATGATAGGAACAAGCCCTTACTTGTGAATCATCTAATATGAGTGATTAATCATCTCTACAAATATGATGCATTTGACATTAATCTTTAAATCTTTATCTGAACTTGAGAAATTACGGACAAATAAAAACTGGGTTGCACCTTCTTATCGAGAGCTAGCCACTCATTAGTTGAATCATCATGCACCGTGCCCCCAATAACAACGTTGGTAGTTTGTCCAACTCTCCCTTCTGTCTTGGACACTTCTGTACATGTAGTGAAATAGTTGCTCAGCTCAACATATCCAATTTCTAGTCCTCTATATCATTTAGCAATAAACAACTACAGCTTTCAAACAACTATATAATCTTCATTTTTCATATTGGTATACATCACGTTAGCAAGTTGTGTTATATATATATTACATTTGCAATTAACAATTCGATGTAAAAATGAAAACCCAGAGAGAAACTGAACAAAATTATATTTGGTTGGAAATGGTTTTAGGACCTGAAATGGCCTTTAGGACAACTTCTTGAGGAGGACGATCATCTTCAGAGGTAGATGGGTTCCCGTTATTGGAGCAATTAAGAAGCTGAGTTCTTCTATAAGTTGGGGATTTACATTTACAGCGACAAGGCAAAATGGATAAAGAAGATTTGTGGTTATAAAACAATGGTACAGGAAAAGAGGTGGGATTCCTTGGAAGAGATAACCATGGTTCCTTTAAGAATACCGTTCTGAACACGCTCCTGCACGCCATTCTTGATAATCCTTCTCTACAGTCTACACTATTTGATAAGTATTTCAGAGCTGTATGCAGGAGTTTGCGAGCTCACCAGCTTTTGCTTGGGCTGCAACTTCCACCCGAACCTCCGCCTCTCTGCACAAAATAAATATGGGCTTGTCTATTATTGGCCCCAACTACACAAATATTTATTTGTTTTCTTTGCAAAAAGAGTAGAAATAAAATACACCATAAATGAGAGATAATAGATGAGTGACTTTTTTTTTTTCAACTGTTTCCCAATTTTTTAAGTTTATACCATATGAATTATCAGGCCTCTATTTATAATGTTACATAGAGCCATACAAAAAGGTTAGTCATAAACATAGCATTATTTGTGAGAGTTACGAGGAAAGATTATGGAGGTTTGGGAGCTAATATCATTAAAGTGAGGAGTGGAGACTTCATTTCTGGAAAGATGGATATGCACAATTAGTTTCATAACACACCTCTTGATTGTTCATGCCTTGAGTGATAATGTGTCTCATTAAAATTTTACTAGAAAAAATTTCGTTGGAATTTTTTTTTAGCGAAGGAAAAAGATTACACATAACTTTTAATACATATTGTTTGTTGTCTCATAAAAAGACCTTGCTAGAATAATTCAATGGGACAAGACCCAGCTAAGGAAAAAAGTGTGCGTATTTTACTCCCCATTATGAGAACATCACATTATTTCTCAAAGATGACACATTCCAATCTGGTATACATCTTGTCAAAGCTCGTATCTGAAAAAGAACTTTGACGAATGTATTGTATTTGGTCTTCTCCAATATATTCTTTATTCAATTGCGCTACACAAGTAAGATCGTCTTCATAGAATATTGTAACATTTCTCTTGAAGAAAATCATATATCTTCTAGCGTTGAGTCATAAGTAGTATTGTCTTCATATAATATTGTAACATTCTTCCCATGCCTTTTTTTTTAAATCGATAACCTTGTATATTTCTATCAATGATTAAGATCATTCAGTACATTTGTTGTACTTGCACCATATTTACATCAAAAGACTCTTAAGAAACTGGAGTTATTCTAGTCTTCTATAGGGAGCTTAATACATCTAGAATTTCCACAGTTTCTACCGAGTGAGACTGTCTACACCAAAAACTAAAGAGCAAAATACAATTCATCTTCATTTGTTGGATAGTGTTGCTCCTATTTTCAAAACATCTAGAATTCGTCTCTTTCAATATTGTACACCATATATAAGCTGGAACCTTTCACCGTCCAACAAAGTTGCTATAAGGTTTAAAAATGCTCTCACGCACTTTTCCCAAAAATCCTCTCTTTCCTACTTCTTAGGAGGGCACATCACCCTTTTTCCGGTAAACTCTTCAGTCGGAAGCTTTCATTTGTCATCTTCAAACCAAGCTATTACCGTCTGTGTTAGTTTCAAGCTTCTTTCTTTCACTTATCTCAGATTTTAAAACCACAAATTGTACATGGGTGAAGAAAGGAGTTACTTACATGCTAGATTTAAATCTTTTGACATCTCAAAGTCCAGTTCTAGGTCAGAACATGGTTTGAATGGACAGAGCGCATCAGGAATTTAACGAGTAAAGTAACTTTAAGACTTAAGGTTATGAGATGTGTCACGATCCAAGGTACACCCTAGGTGTAACATGGCGTATAGGACCCCGAGAGGTCCTACACAAGCCACTTAGCATGCATAGACAAGCTATAAGAAATTCAAAAGATATTAAAAGAAAACATTTCAAAGTCTAAGAGTTTTATCAAAGTAAAGCGGAAGTCTACATTTGTCTCATTTGCCATCTAATACATCAAGAGTGACCGGGACGTAACCCTGGCATCACGTACAAAATATGAAAGTAAGAAATGACTTAAATCTCTAAAAGTTCGGTCCTCAAAGTATAAGGACTCACCACAACTCGGTATCTCTCCAATGACCTCTAGCCACAAAACTGTAAACCCTAAATGTCTGACCTTACATTTGGGTAAATGTAGGCAAGAGTAGGCATTAGTACAAACATGTACCAAGTATGATAGCAATACATAAAATATGTGAAATTATGTTAAAATTGACATTTTCATGATATCTGAAGACTAAGTTAAAACATAAGATAAGAAGTTCAAAAACATAATCGTAATCATGATCAATGCAAGTAAAATCATCTTTGAACACATGTGAGATACTTTAAAGGTAACCTTGGTTCATTATTGTGGAAAGTAGCCTCAACCGACATAAAGACCATGTGAGCTATAGCATGGACCCCCGATGTCTCCTACACCGAAAAAGGTTGCCCTACTTGCCAAGGTAGGACCATGGTTCTGAGCTAAAGTGGATCCACTAGCTAATTTCTATCTAGACAATCATCCTATGGGGACACATAGGTAAGGGATAAGGAGATTGCTACTAGAAACCCGACCTCAACACGGTGGAGCTTCCATCTCAATATCCTCTCAGTGCTAAGCATAAATCCCACGGAGTAGTTATTAATTTTAACTTGTCTTATCTTTATAAGACATGGGTAGCCGTCACTTGTCTTATCATAGGATAGCTCCTTAGACGATGCGTGAAAAAACCTTTCACAATCCATGATCTTTTCATAATAGCTTTTAAGGCCCATAGACAATCACTTTATGCTAGAAATGCCCTACTACTTATAGAAATAATTTTAAAGTCGTGGCCTATAATCATTGATGGCATATCCAGATACCATACTAATCAAGACCTAATTTAGGAAAATAGCCCGAAAAGCATTGAAGGAAGATCTAGATGTCATTCATGTCATGCAGTAAAGCTTCATAGAACATATATACAATCTCATGTATAAGCTTTCTTGAGTCATAAACATACTTTCATGAAGATGCATTCTTTTCAATAATTCATAAGTTCCATCATGTTTTCAAAGTCAATGCATCCTCAACTTCATTACATCAATCTCCTCATAAGGACATGCATATCTTCATAAATTCATCTTTCATGGTTTATGATAAAAAAAAACATGGGTTATGCATGGTTCATGAGAAATCAACTTAAAACATGCAATTGCTTCAATTCATGCATAAAAGTTCATAAATCAATCAAATAAATCAACATTGAAAGGAACCCATGACATGGAAGAAAACCCTAACTTCAATTGGAGATTTCTAACTTGAAAATTCGAGAATTTAGAAACTCCATGGAGAAAAGGGCTCCATGGATGAAAACTATCATACCTTGCTGCCAAAAGCTTGGAAGTTATGGAGGATTATGAGGCTTGATCTTGAAACCCTAGCTTTCTTGTTCAACTTCGAGAGAGAGAAATATTTGAGAGGAGGAGCTTGATCTTCTTTAGGAATTTTAAGAGAATGAATTGAGTTTGGGTGATTTGGGGGTTTAAAATCATTATATAGGGTTTGGGTAGAAGGAAAAATGACACAGTATTGAGTTAAAACAATTAGGATAAGACCCTACAATCCTTGACTTAAAAACTGCCGAATTGGCATCAAAGAGGCCTTAATGGCTCGTCATGCACTACCGGGTCGTGAAGAATTTCTGCCCAATAGGGCTTCACTATTTTGGACATAACATTTTACTCCCAGCTTGGAATTAGGCAAACTCAGAGGTGTTGGAAAGAGGACTCAGAGATCTTTAATTTGATAAGTCATGGGTCACCTAATTCATTTTGTGCTAAAGATATGATCATTTGAAGTTGACCCTCAACTCTAAGTCTGATGAAAACCCTTCACGGACGACATCACGGTCCGTGTGGGGCTTCACAGGCCGTTTTGACGCCCGTGGCCCTTGAAAATTTCCTAGGGGAGAAGCCCTACTTACTTGACCCCCTTCACAACTACTTGTACAACCCGTTTCCCTCTTCACGGCCTATCTAAGGGTCCGTGGGAGGGAACTGCTTGGGGAAGGTTCTACCTTCTTGTCACGAGCACCATAACAGGTCATGGTCCCCTTCACAACCCGTCTAGGGCTCCGTGGATGGTCCTATGGTCCAGTTTTGGATCTTGACAAGTCTGTTACACCCCTTCCTAGACTTTCTCGAATATGAGGTGTTACAATATCTCCCCCTTGGGAACATTCTTCCTTGAATGGAACTCAACTAGCACGAAAAGAGTAGGAGCGAAACTAACAACCCAATCATAATGCAATCTCATCAAAATGCACATAATTGTCACAACCCAAGGTAGCCTCTCGGCGTAACATGGCGTACATGACCCCGAGAGACCCCATACAAGCCACTTAGCATTCATCATACAAGAAATAGAATATCAAAGAGATAAAGAGAAACATTTCAAGTCTAAAAGTTTATCACAATAAAGCGAAAGTCTAAACATCGTCTCAAAGCCATCTAGCACAATAGAATGAATCTAGGCGTAGCCCGTACATCATGTTCCAAAACTGAAAATAAGGAAAGACTGAAAATACTAAATGTACGGTCCTCGAAGCATGAAGACTCACCAAAGCTCAAATCTCCTCAAAGAACTCTAGCCATGAAACTGGGAACCTGATTGTCAGATCCTACATTTGGGGAAATGTAGGCAATAGTATGTGTTAGTACAAATATGTACCAAGTATGATAGCCATGCATAAAACATATAAAGTCATGCTAAAAAGGGGCATTTTCATGAACATGCATTTATCAAGCTAAAACATGAATCTTGGATGTTAGAAAACATAAGTTGTAAAACATGATCAATGCAATTGAACATCATCATAAAACATCTGTAAGTTACTTCTTGAAGTAACCTTAGTTCATCATAGCTTTCTTGTGGGAAGTAGCCTTAACTGACATATAAGACCATGCGATCTATCAACATGGAATCTGGTGTCTCCCACACCGAAAATGGGTGTCCTACTTGCCAAAGTAAGGACCATGAACTTCTAGCTTATGTGGATCCACTAGCTAATCTCTATCGAGACAATCCTATGTTGGCACATAGTTTATGGGACACAGGTAATCGCCACTTGTCCACTCGGTACTAAGTTTAACTTCAACAGATTAGTTCTTAATCATATTCATCTTAGTTCTGAAAGGAACATGGGTAATCACCTCTTGTCCTTACATCATATGATATGGGTAATCACCTATTCTCTTTCAATAAGAGAGCATGGGTAATTGCCTCTTGCCTCAATCATTATGATAGCTCCTTAACATTGGTTCATTTT